CACATGATACGTGCGATATTTACAGTGCACGCGATATCGTGAGATCCGATAATTAGAGTGCATTCAATATTACAATGCGTGCGATATTTAGAGCGCACATTTCGTGCGACCTGTGCGTGATATTCAGAGTACCTGTAACGTCAGAGTCCTTCACGAGCTTCGAGATTTAGGGTACATCCGATATTAGAGTGTCTCTAAGAGCTTTCTTTTGATGTCTCAAGTTCTGTAATCTAAAGTCACGAGTTCCTGTGTCTGCATGTTGCAAGTTCCATTTCAAGTACACATACCAGTATTCATTACCAGAAATCATCTACCAGTATTTATGAATTAGAAGAAACATTTTAAAATGCATCACAAAAGCGATAATCTAAGCTGTGATGGTAGTGTATGCATCGATGACGCAACGGTGAAGCACGCGCCTCTTTCCAATAACCTGTAAAACATTTGTTGCTCATCGAAGACCAAAAAAGGAATCCGAATAAACCAGTCGGTGGAAGTCGATCGTTGTGAGGCAAGAAACGCGAGAGTCATATCGAGAGGGGAGAAGCCACATTGGCCCTCTGCGTAGGGCTGTGGCTAAAGCTCTCTCCTGGCGGTTGAGGCCGGCGCTGGAGCAGTCGGCTAGCACCAGGTAGTAGCAGAGTAGCACATCCCGTGTGCGATCAATACGCAGCGCGCAAGCTGCGAGAGCCACGAGCTACGTGAAAATACAGCGACTACCATGATCGTCACCGACGAAGACGATGACACGACTACTACGTCCATGACGAGGACTGCCTACGTACGATACCACGACATAACGGCGTGAAGCCTCAGGGAGAGGAGGAGGTAAAAGGGAGGAGGAGGAGGACGTTGCCAGGCGACGGAAGCTGCCTACCGGCAGAGTTCATCGTCCTCCAGCTTGTTTCTTCTCCCTTCCACCCACCCATTCACCCTCCGTTTATCCTTCTCCTTCTCTGCCTCCACCACTCGACTTTGTCTTGTACTTGCTCTTTCTTTCTCGTTTTTCAATGTTCACCGTCTCTTTCTAACCCCACGCGTTCTCCCCTCTCCTCTTCCCTGTTTTACCACTCCCTGATTCCCTCTCTGGCTTCTCTTTTTCATTTTCCCTCTCTTTCCCTTTCGATCTGTCCTCTCGCTCCCGGTCTGTCTGTCTGCCACCCCCCTGTGCTCTCTCTCTCTGGGTTTCATGCTCTCCCCTCGTTATTCCGTGCTTCGTTTGGTGTTCTCAGGTTTTTCTAGCTCCGCTCGGTGATCCCTTTTTCTCCCTCGTATTCTGGCTACCTCGTTTCTTTTCACTTTTTGGAAGTTTGTTGATACTGCCAAATTCTCGGGAAACTCTTTTAGTCGCATTGCGTTTTGATTTACATTGCTTGCGCGTCATTTGCATTCTCTTGGGGTGTATTATCATTTTTTCTCGCTCGACGTGTAAACCTACAGTGCATTATCGAGTACCTCCCCTCTCTGAACGTGCAATATACATCCCACCACTCGCTGATTTTTGCAGACAAACATTTCAGATTCATAATTTATAATTTTAGAAACTCGAGTATTCTCAGATTTGTAAATTTAGGAACCAGAATATTTGAAGATTCAAAAATTAAAAACTTGAAATTTTCGACGTTTCACGTTTAATCCCCCAAAATCACAGACAAGCGGAAAGATGCACCCCTACGCTTATCCAGAGGAAGTCCGTACGCGCATGCGCGTATATCCGATTCGCGCGAGATCGCGAACGGGAAGCTGCCCCGCGGTAATTTGTACTCCACCTACACCCCTCCGTGTCTGCTCGACTTTTCATCTCTTCGAATTGATACACGCTTCTCCGCGATATTCCAGTTCGCTCTCTTTCTTCCGGTTATTATGCGCTTTTGAATGCGCGCGGACGGGCGGTTTTAACGATCGTCGCGCGGGATGCGAGCGACCGCAACGCCATCTGCTAAAACGTGCGGACCAGCGAATTAATCAGTACCGACCGCTTCATCGATTTTACGCCACAGGATATTTAATTCTCGGCATATCGGATTTTCACGCTTTGGTCAAGTCGTTGCACCCTTGGGTATACAATACGGCTTCACCATTCCTCATTTGATGCTTTATATGTCTCCCGCTTTTTTTTTCTCCCTTTTCTGACAGTTTCTACGATAAGTTTCTACGAGTAACTTTGTACATACACACTGCATATTTTTCTTAAATTAAATCTTAAATTATAATCGGTAGGGTTTTGAAGGATCAACGAGCAATCTTATGAAGTGTCGTTATTGATCGATAGATTTGATACTTAACGATATCGTTAAGGTTAATAATAATGCTCCATTCTATCGTGGAGTCCATTTATTCTTGTTTAAGCTTCGCATCTGAACTAACTTAATTTCGAAGAAGAATAATTATAATCGAGTTAGAAGTTTAAATGAATTTCAGTTACGCCGATTAACCTTAACGATATCAAAATGTCAAAACATCCAGTTATTGATATTATCAAGCACTTAATAATATTCCAGCGAACTCTATCCCTTTATCTTTCCGACTTCTGTTACATGTGCGTGTCACTTTTTTTGGCTCCCTCGAGCTCTTTTTCTTCTCTCCCCTCGATTGTTCGTCCTTCTCCTTTCCCATCCTTCTTTCTCCTTATATCTCCTAGACTCTTTCTTCTGCACGGAATTCGCATTGGCATACATCCTCTGTTGCTCTCGGTTTCTCTCCGTTCGTCTTTCGTGCAACCCCCCACTTTCTGTGCCACCCGTTCGTTACTTACCATTATCACAGTGCCGTTCACATTGCAAAACAGCCGGTGCACCTCCATCGTCGTCAACGTCGTCGTTTCCATCATCGCTATTACCACCAACACAACTGTGCCATGTACAGACTTTGAGGACCGTCCTTAACTCCCCTTTTCGGGTCTTTCGACTTGTACTTTCGTTTATTTCTGATGATGCCGCAACCGCGTTCGACACTCGTTGATTACCAACGATGATGAGCTCCTTCCGAAGAGGTATTCCCACGTACATCGCGACATTGTTCCCCTTTTCGTGGGACCGGACTCGATGCTACGCTCTCTTCGCGCATTATCGTACGGTTAATTCAGGTGATTTCTATAGGCGACAACGCGAACTCGACGGTGTTCCACTTGTCGATCGTAATTGACACGAGAAACGTTTCTCGGTAAACTGTTTCGCTGCTCGTGTTCGTTTTCCTGCTCACCTGCGATTAACAGTAATACTATGGATTATCGATACGCTATCGACACGTACAGTCATTAGCGATATTTCGGTTCCGTTGACGTTCGAATTACGTGCGACCGTGTCTTTGGTAATAGCGCCAATATTTGAATCGTGAGAACAGATGCAAGAAATAATTTTTGTACCATAGATACACGATTCATCCTTTCTTTTCTTGTTACGTTCATTAGTTGCGAGAGATGAGTTCGGGAGGTAATCGGGTCTAATCTAACTCTTACCTGCATTGTGTATGAAACATTGGTTTTGTGTCGGGTTTGTACGAAGTGAAATGCGTTAACAGATGGCTAGAAAGTTTCTTATTTAATATGCTTTGGTGAAATCACGGTAATATGCTCATTGACAATGTTTGAACTTCACCGTTGTTGTAAACCGAAGTTGAAGAAAGTGTGCTACATCCGGTTGCCCCGTTAGCCCCCTTATTATCTCTGACGTCTAATAAAAGTCGGTGTATATCCGATATTATAGTATTTTGTTTCTCTCTTATCGAGTATCGTTTGCGCGATACGCGTCTGATTCGCAAAATTAATTGAACTTCGTTGAAATTATTGTTGCGTGGTGACCCCGAGATATACTTGAAATCTTCGCACGCGTATATCGCGTTATCAATATTGCTTTGCAATTCGATCCACCTGTAAAGTACACCAGATATCTTATTTGACTTATGAAGTGCTCGGTGTGTGGCACTGACGCGTATAAATAGAGCGTGCAGGTGCATTTGTTGCACTCGATGCACCGGTTAAATGCTATTTAACACATTCGTTGGGGACTTGGGGATATGGATATTTTTTAGTTGCATGAAATAAGTAATTATATTAGTTATATTGCCGCGGGTTAATTTACCACGCGCTATTTTGCTCTATGCTGAATTTCCACGCGTTATATCACCGTATGTTGTATTTCCACACGTTATATCGCCGTAGGTTGTGTTTTCACGCGTTAAATTTCCTCGCGTTATATTGCCGTATGTTGTATTTCCACGCGTTATATCGCCATGTGCTGTATTTTCATGCGTTACATTGCCATATGTTGTATTTTCACGCGTTAAATTTTCTCGCGTTATATTGTCGAATGTTGTATTTCCACGCGTTAGATCGCCATATGTTACATTTCCACGCGTTATATTGCCGTATGTTGTATTTTCACGCGTTAAAAATTCCTCGCGTTATATCGCCGTATGTCGAATTTCCACGCGTTATATCGCCATATGTTGTATTTTCACGCGTTAAATTTCCTCGCGTTATATTGCCGAATGTTTTATTTCCACATATTATATCACCGTATGTTGTAGTTTCATGTGTTCAGTTTTCACGCATTATATCACCGTATGTTACGTTGCATTTGCACGTGTTATATTGCTCAGCGTTATATCGCCACTTGTCGTATTCCACTATTGTGTTGTACTATTTTTAACGTACATGGTAAATTTAGAAAGCTTAATTTATGGGAATGGCAAATTAAGTAAATCCTAACATAGAAGAACGTTTTTATACGAAATTGAATCGTGTTGAAATCGAACCCCAGCCAACTGTGAACGGGGCACCTTAGTCGCTACGGCATCGAAGCCCTCCGAGTGTTCTTCTCCTTTTTTCTTCGTTTTTTTATTTCCCAGATCAGGGTGTACAACATAGGCTTCCAAACCGAAGCGTATACGCGCGTTTGAGCATTACAGATTTAAGAAGATTATTCTAAGAATAGAATAAATTTTCTTTATATCAGTGGTGGAATAAAGAGTTTAATTAAAACGTCACTTGTTTGTTACAGAACGTGGATCACAAGCTGAAGTTCCGTTCCAAGAAGGGTGCGCTGCCGTTCGTAGAGCTAAACGGCGAAGAGATCGCGGACAGCACCATCATTCTTCGCGAATTGAGCCAAAAATTCGGCAAGGACCTAGATGCCGGCCTTACGTCCGAACAACGAAGCGTTTCTCATGCAATGATATCGATGATCGAGAATCATCTAGTTTGGGTGGTCACGTGTTGGCGCACCAAGAACTTCGATCAGGTTCTGAAGGGGTATAAGGTGAACCTTCAACATGTACTTGGCAGCCGTATTCCCAATGGTATTCTAAACTTTCTCTTCAAGCTTACGTACGGACGCAAGGTAAATCTTTCGTTTGAATTTCATTTTTTGCGATTACTGACTTAGTTGTCGCTCTCAATTTGCAACGGTTTCTAACGGACATTTATTACAGGGTGTGAAGAAGGTGAAGGCCCAGGGCATGGGAGTGTATACTCCTGAAGAGGTGTCCCAGTTCGGTTGCGCTGATCTCAAGGTTCTCTCTGATATGCTTGCTGATAAGCCCTTCTTCTTCGGAGATGAACCGACCACGGTACGCTTTTCGTTCGCTCAACAATTGTATACTTTATGAGATCAATATGCTTCAAATGTGATTCAATCATACTTGAAATCAGTCTGCATGATTCAATTGTACAGTTAAAATAAGCTCATCGATGCGATTTAATGGGTGCTGTGATGCATCAGCTTCGAGTTCTTAGAACTAATTTCTTGTAAGCTACTCAGAACTGTACACCCTCGTGCAATGATGTCTTCTCTTTAACATGAGAGGAATTTGTCTCGATTTATTTGAAATTAATTTAATATATTTCTTGTTTTTAATAGTTGGATGTTGTGGCGTTCGCGCATCTCGCCCAGATCCTGTACATCGACAAAGAGACGTCGTACAGCCTACGGGACTACATGCAGGAGAACTGCCCAAATTTGGTCGGCCATTGTTCGCGCATGAAGGAGCGATGCTTCCCGGATTGGGACCAGATCTGTTCCACTCTTGACATGAACACGCATTTACCGAAGCCGGAGAAGCAGGAGGAGAAGGAGGGCAAAGAGGAGGCGAAGGAAACGAAAGAGTCGAAGGAGGAGAAAGAGGGCGACAAGGAGAAAGCGGATAAAGAGGAGAAGGAGTTGGAGAAGGATAAGGAGGTTGACGAGAACAAAGAGAAGGAGAAAGAGGGGAAATAAGCTGTCTCGAGGGGACAACTAAGTAAATAAGTCGTTCAAAGGGAAAGAGGATTTCAAACTTGCGGAAAATTGAGGGTGTGATCTGGTAGGATGATGGAGGGGGGGATAAGGGAGAGACGGAGAGGGTGATGAAAGAATGAGCGTTGTATGCGAGCCAATGTAGAGAGAGTGATAGAGAACGAGTAAATGTTATAGCGAATGTATAGAATGTGTGAGACGAATGTTTGAGAATAGAGTACATGCGAGACAAGAAGAGGCGATAGAATGTGTGCGAAAGAGCGAAGAAAAACATGCGAGTCGCAAAGATTCGACAAACGTTTTTAAAGTTAGAGCTCTCTACTTATACGTATAGATATATTAATAGGCTCATAATGTTAAATACTTCGTTTATATACGTTCGTAACATGTTAACGTCATTTCTCATCGACGCACCCGAAGCACACCCGGAAACGAACAAACTTGATCCGACCCAAGGACCCTTCGCCCTCCCTCCCCGGGTGAAGAACGAGAACAACAAAAGATAACAGAGAACGGGGCTATCTCATAAGTCATTAGAATATCGTAGGTTTGCAATATATTAAATGCAATAGCCTGACGCGTGCAGGTGGTATGAGATCTTCGATGAGAACAGTGGCCAAAAGAAAAACGCATCAGCGTACATCGTAGCAAAGGGATGTACGCGATGCAGTTTAGGGAGCGAGATTATCGTTTATGGTTGGCGATAGACAGAAGAGCGTCACTGATTCAGGCGTCTTCTTGCGGTCGCCTCTTATTACCATACCATTGGCTCTTACTGTGCAAAATGAGTTACGTACCTAGCGTTCCAAGTAACGTGTACCGTATATCACATCATGATCTTCGTTTAGTCGTGCTGCTGTTTAGTCGAAATAGAAAACACCCCTGTTCAATCGTTCTTTAGAAATTGTAATTAGATGCACGTCATTTTCGAGTCATTAGGTTTCGCGTGATAGAATATTTCCTTTTCTGATACATCTGTATGATTAAATAATTCTTCTGATGATGAAAATGATCAGAAATTAAATGTTAAAGTCATTGGATGCATCAGAGAAGGCGACTGATACAATCTTTTTTAATTGTCTCTTATACACGATATCACCTGCTTCATTCGCGTCAATTTCGAAGCGAAACTGTTTTTACACTTGATACAAAAAAATGATAAGCGCGCGCGCACATTTTCTGGTTGACTGGTTTTTCCGTTTTTTATGGTTCATTGACGACGTTTCGACGAACGAAGACTCATCTGTGCGATTACGGATCGACAGAAAATGATATATTTACGATGATTTGTACATTATTATATAGATATTTGTATTACGTATACGCGGATGCAATCCGAATTAGGGTAGCGTTCGTCGGAAACGGATGGAAGCGGAAGCGACGCGTCTCGAAATCGCAGACGCTTCGACACCGTCTTTGTTTCTTCTTTTTCTTTTCACAAGAACAAAATGAATTTAAAATTAAACAAATGAGAAAAGAGGCACAGGCAAAAAACAGAATTTCTTGTGTGTCTGGGTTTCCTTTCGATGTTGGAACCAAATGAAAAAGAAAAAGAAAAACGAATGAAACGCTGTGCTGTCCCGTGTATTAGTTCAACTTTTTATTAGATAACATTTATCTCTCCTGCGCGAGAGTAATAAAAATTTTACATTACGAGATTAAAAAAAAAATACAAAAGTGTCTTTCACGCATCGAAAAGAAAGAAGAAAAGAAAAAGTACATACAACTCAGACATTTTTTGATGTATAATGTTATATAATATCGAACGGGAATTGAACTGTTTTTGTACGAGGCCGCCGGGTCAATAACAGCCGCGGTCACAAAATAATAATTCCACGATAAAACACGAGGATAATTATATTTAAGTAGCTTACTTATAATTAAACGACGATTACGATTACATAAAGGACAAAAGGTAAAAAAAAATAATAATAATAATGATAAATAACACAAGTAAATAATTAGTGTGTGAAAGCTGTTTATACCTTAGGACAACGCATACGTTTACACCCGTGGTTACATATGATTAATATTATTATTATTACGGATTATTATTATTATGAATTATTACGAGTACGAGTATAAATAATAATAATAATAATAAAATTAGTGATGAAGAACGAGAAAAGGAAAAAAACACTTGGACAAGACCATAAACGTTGCAAGCACAGTAGGTAGGCACACATCCAATACAGTAAGGTTTATCGTAAGAGGAATATTAATAATAATTATAATATGACTGCTCGTTTTATGCTCGGCGCTATACATTTCATTGTCATTATTATATCACCATTTATTAACGATATACATACGAACAAATAAAATGTGTTTATAAATATAATGTGATCTTTACGAAATTTCTTTGATCTTTATTAATACCCTCCTAGATTTTATTTATTTTTATTTATTTATTTTATTTTATTTATTTTTTTATTTATCTTTTTATTTATTTTTATAATTATCTGCTTGGAAGATCGTTGGACCACGTACAATTATACAGCAGGTAAGTTAGTTTGCTTTATATTATGCTAGAGAAGTTTTTGATTTCTTACATTAGTGTTAAATCGTTGAAGGGAAATTGCATATTAGACATTTTTTGCTTCGCGATAAAAGACTTTTTGAATAGTCATCTAACGTGCCCCTGGAAGCGGCATGATAGGAAAATGAAAGAGGTATACGAACGGTATGGGTGCCCCTATTTCAACATGATAACATATTTTAAAATTAAAATGCATATCCGATTAATTACTCAATTTCTGCAAATAATTCATCTATTTGCACATTTTTCCCATATATATATTTTATATGTATAACTCAGAATTAATAAAATACTAACAAGTTTCGAACTAACTATGAATCGATATGCATTTACGATGTTCAGAGTTCAGAAAAATCTGTCGGTAAATTTGAAAAAAAAAAAAAATTGATCAGCGCCATCTAGCGGATGTTTCCCAAACCCTACTCCTGGTAGCAGGATCGCAGAAAAGCGAGGAGGTATCCGGAGGCAGTCATTGTTGGGCAGTCCCAGTGCATGCGTTAGGAGAAGTCAGGGGAAGATATCTCCTACTATTTCTCAAACTTGATCCTTTTTTCACTTGCAAAAATGAAATAGTATAACGTCGACAAATATCACCATCCTATTCTCATGCGTTGAAGCCACGAATCAGGTGAATAGTAGGAGATGGTAGGAGGACCCTCCCCTCATTTCCCACAAGTGTTGGGCAGTCGTGAGATTTTATCTCACGCGAGAGCTTTATGCGCATGCGTCAGTAACGTCACAGCTTGCTGCCAATGCCGTACCTAGCCGGTACACGCAATGGTGACTGATGAGGGCACCTTAATGATCCTACATAATTTTTAAAAAATTCTTATAATTGCACTGTAAACTATGAATCTATAGGTTGGGTTAGATTACATTAGGCTGGGTTAGGTTAGTTATATATATGACTGTATAAAACTATACAACTATATATATATATCGTGAATTATATAATATAATATAATGGGAATAATATGATGGAATATGGGAGATTATTATATTTAAAATAACACAAAAGCACAATAACTTTTAAAATATGAATGAATTTATTATTTAAGAAAAACGATTTGGAAGGACCTCTTTGAATAACTATATTTTATACGTGTGAAAATTATAATATCAGAGAAACAATAACAAAGAAATACATGGATTTTATTTTGTTAATATACATAGATCCGATAAAAATCGAGCGGTATCTTTTTCCTTTGCTCTTGCAACAAATATTGGTATTCATATAACAAATCGGCTGCAAACGTAAAAAATAATAATAATCATAAATAAATTTAATATTACTTTTATTATATATAATCTGTTGTATTATTTAACCCTTTTATTCTCTTTCCTGCAATTTTCTTCAGATTTATTTTTTTTCCTCACTCGGGCCTAATGATACCTTATATTTCATCAAAGTATATACACTACTGAGGATTCTACGGATAGCTTACTGCGCATGCACTGGGACTGCCCACACTGATCTGCGCGCTACTTAAAAGTACTTTAAGCCTTAAACTACTACCTTATAAATAGTTATTCAATTTATTATTTTTATAATTCACATTTTCTGTTTACTAATGTTCTAACTTTCACGTAAAAATATTATTAAATCGTGCAACAACAATAAATATGTTATTATAAATGCTTTTATTTTTCAGATCCAAAATTGAATATACACACAATCTGCCTTGATCTTCGACAAAGAATTAAGCTAATAAAGAGTTACATAAATAAAAAATTGTACAAAATATATTTTCAAATTGTATGTATTTATGAAGTTACACTAAATAAACAAAAGAATTCATGTACTTATACAATCCTTTCCATTACATTCTTAAACATAACAGACAATCAACAGATTAGATCAGGCATGCGGTTAGGTTATATTCGGTTAGGTCAGGGTCCAAGGTTAGGTCGCATTATGTTAGGTCATGCCTACATTACGGTTAGGCTATATTCGGTTAGCTTAGGATCTAAGGTTAGTTCGGATCATGTTAGGTCAGGGACTAAGGTTAGATTGTATCCGGTTAAGTCTGGAGACCTAACATATATCACTCCCCATGTTACTATTACTATTATCGTGGAACTATAATTATTATCCTTACTATTATTATTATCAATTTAACCGGTATCACTACCCATATTACTACTTTTATTATCGTTACAACTATTATTATTATGCTTATTATTCTTATTATTATTAATATTATTACCCATATTACGACTATTATCATCGCTTCAACTGTAATT